ACACAGTTTGCATACCTGCTGCATTTGATCGTCTTCTTCGTTAGGGAGACCTACGAAGAGAAAAAGTCATCAGTTAATTGATTTATAACAATTAACTTGAAGCAATTTATAGCTGACCGTTATTACCTCCTCTTTGTACTGTAATATTCACATATTGACCAATTGTGTATGATTTAAGCATATTCACTAACTGGAAATGATTAAAATTTTTAACATTTTGGCCATCAATATCTAGTAGTAAGTCGCCTTCTCTGAGTTGTCGACAACGTTGGTTGTCCATAATGGATCTAATTCTTTGACCAAAAGTACTATCTGCAATAGTAAAGCCAAAGCCCATTGTACCTTTGGCGATATTTGATGTTATAATCTCTGGCGATTGCTGATGTGGAGAATCTGCTAAGAAAAAGAAGGTGTTATTGTCTATGCATAACTAAATAATTTCGATTATTATTTTATTGTAACTCTAATGCGTAGCAATACAAACCCATATAATCATTCGCTGGCGGCTGATTGTTGTAATTATTACTATTCCTTAGATTGGATGGTGCAGGCTCGAAATATTCGTTTTGTGGAGGATTCCTGTTTATAGCATCGTGTTCTATAGAAGCTCTTTGACCACGACTGTACATGTTTGGTGATGATTCTGAGTAATCTGGCGGTGGTTGTCCATCAGCTGCTACATCGGGCTCATTCAGCTCTGCGCCATCATAACCACGTCGAGCTTCAATATATACCTCTGAACCAGAAGGTATCTTCGAAAACATGTCGACGACTTCAGCATGAGATAGATACAACACATTGTAATCATTAACCATAACCAAGACATCTCCCACATTTAATCGACCATTCTGGTCAGCAGGGCCATCAGCTACTATATTTTTAATTTGCAAAAATTCACCAAGCTCGTCTCCTCCTACGATTGTAAAACCAAACCCTCTTGGGCCTTTAAACAAATTCGTCCTTATAATCTCTCCACATAGTGGAATTTCACGTGCATTTGGCGTATCCAAATAATGTGGTGGTTTAATGCCGCGAGATGCTAAATCTTCATCTGGTGACTGTGAGTATGCATCTCTTTCCTTGCGTCGAAATTCCGCTATTGGATTTTCAAACTGAGTTCGGCGGTGTACATGACTGTCATTTAAATATGAAATTATTAGTCATTTGACATATTTGTTAAGAAATATTCGATATAGATATGGTATCTTACTCGATATAATATGGGCCAGCTTGTGGATCGTTTATGACCTCCCACTGGAATGGTAATTCTAGAGTAGATAGATATAACTCGAATTTAGCTATTCTAAGTTTTGACGTTTAATCACAACTATACAACGAAATATCTTATAAAATGAGTTTTAGTGATTATATTTTTTTTAATTATCTAATTGTTATATCGAATTATTGTCGATGCTATTTACCATCTTCTTCGCAATCCAATAATGTATGTTGCTGATACTTGGTCAAACGGGGATCCAGCCAATGCACCGTTTGAGTAGATGTGCTTTAATTATAAATGATTATACATAAATGAGTTATTAGGAGAAAATTGTAAAGAAATAATGTACGGAATGGATCAATCGTATTATAGTTTCTAAATGGTAACAACTATAAAGTATACAATGTTGTGAATGATGAAGATACTATTTAGATACTAATGGCAACGATATCTTTTAAAGACAATCTTACAGTTCGTTCTGGAAACTAAATTTTAATACTAAAAAAAAGTGGAAAAATTGAGCAACTTACTCGATATAATAAGGCTGGTTAGATGATGAAGCGTATTTTACAATCCATTCCTCAGGTAATGGTCCAAGATCTTCAGGAATATCTGAGAACTCAGGATTTCTTTCACTTTGATAATTACCACCATCATTGTCATTGTCCTGTGGCATATCGTCGCGAGGTGGCTGATCTGATGGGAGAGGTTGTTGAAATTCTTTCGACGGTTTAGGCGTGCCATAGTGATTACCTTCAAATAATCCACTTTCTAGTAGTTCCCCACGCTTTTCCATCTCTTCAAATTCTTTAACGCTCAAAAATAAGTAATCGACGCCTTGCCTTTCACCTGGACGAGGTTGCCGAGTAGTGCCTATTGTAACAAAAATTGCGTAATTATAAACTAAGTGATAAAATTGTCTATTCAACTTATAATTTTTAGCAAATTTAGCACTTTAAAAAAGAACTTCAAACAAGAAAACATGAAATGATGGCTGATATTAGGTATTGGATGGAGCAAAGTCATAAAATGTTGTAAACTTACATGGAACAGTTCTCATGTACAAGTTATCGCGAATGGTTTGTTGTAGCTCATGATCGGCAGAATCTCTTTGGAATCGACTTCGTAAATATTGACGCAGATCTCTAGGAAGTGCCGTATCTAAAATAGTTTGATAAAATGGTATCACCAAAGTTTATTTTATAGGAATTAATAAAAGGGATGGATAGCACAGGACAGAATGACGCAGGAGTATAGAAGTATACGTATAAATATGATAAACACTTGTACAATTGTAGATTATCACGGTGAGATGGCTGGGCAAATGATGGAATTGTTATTTTTATCGAAGGAAAGTGAAAATAAGCACTAGTTACATGGGGACTTACTTGATTTAACGGTCAACAATCTTAACGGTTCCGGTGAACTTTTGATAAGATCAACAACATCATTCTGAGTGTAACCAGAAACCTTCTTGGAATTAATTTCTAACACCGTTTCATACGCATGTAATTTTCCAGATTTGATTTGTCCTTTTTCAGTGTATGCACTACCAACAAAGCAGAATTGTCCATTGTCTGCACCACCATCAATAGTAAAGTTAAAGCTTCCATTTTGGCCGCGAGTCAACACTATCTCATGAGCTTTTTGTGCCCAATGCTTTTTACCTTTCATTTTTTGGCTGCTAAGGTAGTTTTACCTAAAACTGTTTAGATCATATTAATAGACAATTAGTTGAAAAAAATAAATAATCATTCTCATCAGTTGGTATGCAATTCCATTGGTTAAGAATGTTGCTTGTGACTTTACTGTCAATTTCAGCACGTTAACGCATTATCATACGACGCTTGAAGGATCGATATCAACGGCTACGAGCGATCACTGCTTTGGGTTTGTTATTGTTTACATGGACAAGTAAAACATTCGCCGTTTTCAATTTGAAAAATATTGCAGCAGATCGATGATGGAAGCTTTCATTTGGACATTATATCGATTTATATTGACTAGTCTCAACTACGTGTGATCATCATAGACTAGAAAATGTTCTCCTTTGTCCATCTATTCAGTTGGTGTAGGTGATACTACACTAAAATCGCTCTTAATCCTTGTAATGGAGTAAAATGATTGGTTGGAATGATGAGAATCATCAAGAATGAATTAGCCAGTGCAATTGTATGATGTTATTATCGCTTTTTTTTGTTCAGTAGTCGCTGTTATTAATTATTGATCAATGTTATTGACTCGTCGTCTACGAGTCAATAATTTTCATGGACTACCAGTAAAGTACCAGTAGGTAATCTTGTAGTAGTCCATGATACTGTCGACTGTATTATTTGGTTATTGCATGACTTGCTATCGTTGATGTCGTAGTCGACTACAGTATACTGTTCAAAATAGAGTCCAATTCTACGGTCGAGTTTAAGCTTGAATTAGTAGACTAGTATTGGATGTTTACTGTTTAGTGTCTTGGCTAGCAGATTTTGTTGAGTAGTAGAGTATATTGTTGAAAATAGTCAAGGACCAGTCGATAAGAGTTTGGAAATACCAGACTAGTGTTGAATGTTGACTGTTTAGCGTCTTGACCAGTGGTCGTATAAATACAGCAGGTGGTCGACGTCAGCACTCAGCATGTGAGACATGCATGTCGTGATTTCAGATTGAGTACGCAAGTCACGGTATGACGCCTTGCCGTCAATGCAACAAGCCCATGGGTAATGCTACAGTACAGTACTGTACTGTAGCAATGGAGTAGCCCATGGGGGCTGTTGTTCCTGGTACGGTGTAGATGTACGCGATGCTCGTCTACTGTCTCACCTCTACCATTGGCAGTCACATGGAAACAAATGCAACCCTTTACACAGAACATTGCCCCCTGTATTTAGACGGCTTTGCCAACCATGGCTTCAACACGGCTTGTGTTGGATTTTAATATGTGTGGGGTAGGTCTGAGCCAGTTTGTTGTATATAGAATGGAAATGTTGTCAATACAATGTTGTAGGCGGCATTGAGAACGGTGGACTAGCATCAATATGAAACATAAATGACGGTATCATTGAAACTGTAAAGTGGAAACCATTGACTTAACCAATTTAGAATTTAAAATATACGATCCATCACTAGTCATCGTAATAGCTAGTAATTAGTCATTATCGATTTCTTTAAAGATGGAAGCGCATGGATTATCAATCTTATTAGCCTTTCAAGTCGTTCTAAAATGACGATTGATTAATTCATTAGGCATTGTACCGTCCAATTAATCATTATAGGATTGTTAAATGGGTGCTATGACTGTGGACGCTTTAGTCAACTACTTTGACGACACATTGTCTAGTATTCTTATGCTGCGACATCAACTCAATTTCAATCAAATTAAACGCATCGATTAAATGCTTGTAAAATAGTCTACACACATGGAAATAGCTTCTGTAGTCAATGAAAAACAGTGAAGAGTCGATTGCTAGAAAATTTGAATAAAGGATGACGTAGAATAGCTAGTAGAGTGTGAAAAGTGAGTCCACCAGTAATAACGTAATAACTACTACAGCATGAGTCGTGCGAACTAGTAACTCCTACAATTTCGATTTGAATTGCGTGTAGGATTGTGCTAAAGTGTACTACACTTTCTACCCAATTGACATTTTTAGCGCGTTATTACAGTATTAAAATAAAATAAAAAATAATAACGCCAAATCAACTCGGAAGTACAAGTTCTTTCAAGAAGCGTTTGTAGTTAAAATTGCGGTGTCCTCCTATTTCCAAACTGTGCCTGAATTAGGACAATTAAGTATGGGAACTACTCAATTACATACTGCATAACAAATTATCACGCCTATGATAAAGCATGTAGTACAGTACATCGACTGCCAATATCGATTTTTAACGTTGTACGGGATTTTCACTACGTTATCGGCGGAACAGTATGAGCGAAAGCGTATACTATTTTACGTTCTATCTAGAGATAGATATACATATGGATATACATCTACCATTAATTAATTATTAATACGTGATCATATTGTACTGTCTGTATGTAGGTTACATCATAAGTACGCGAACAAACGGTCGAACTTTTCTACAAGGGTACACTGTACAACTTTTGTCAATTAGGATAAGGAATAGGCGTAGAATTACAGTATATCAAAGCGTGGCGATTTGAATAGTGTGTCTAAAATACAAAAAAATATTTTAAAATTAACGTATACAGGGTAGGATCACTTTAGCGTTTGCCTAGAATTACTGATAGTTTACTATTAGTCTTATTTGAAAACGGAGCCTCAAGCAAAATAATACCCTTAAGCTAGGAGTACGTGCTGTGCAGTGTATACTGCAATTTGGATGGACGATTGCCAATTTACAACAAAGTACAAGTGTGTCAGATTGATATCGCTTTACAAGTTGAAGGAGAGGCAACCACCGTCTATCCTTAGATCCAAACGATGGATTCACTCCAATCTAGCGTAAAAGGACTAAGTCAACAGGAGGGTCGAAACAATATCAAGCGTTTCTCTACTCCATGCCAGCAGGGACCTATGCCCACATGGATACGTTGAAGGTAAAAAAAATTTGCTATTCATTCTCATGACTGTAGATGACAGTTGTAGGATATCAGCGTTGGTGATTGATAACAAATTAATTAATCCATCTCTGTCTGAAATAATGGATCGAAACAGGGCTAGCATTGTCAAACCGTTTCAACGCAACAAAATGGACTACTGAACAGTAGTGAAATACCTTGAAAGAGTTCACAAGTGATGTTGTAAGGCACTTGATATCTTCGTTTTGCTCTCTTCTCGTATAATAACGATTCAAATCGTGATCTTGAAATACTCTTCTCGATGAGAATAACACAGTAAGCAATATTAAGCGTAACCTAACGGCAGGACTAGAGAATTTCAATCTGTCAATGCAACCTACTGTGCAGTCAAACTGTTAAAATAGCTTCAACTAATGCGGTACTACCGCTGGGCATACACAGTCTAGTAATTCTGCGCGTCTGTGTGGCGTTGGTGAATTTTATACCGACGCAACTTGTACTGGTAGTGCTTTTCAATTACGCTTCAACCGTTGACGTTGAAGCGAGACCTTGAGTGTATTTCTAGTCCTTGATGCCAGTGTCTTGGACTCCGTATAGATAGAGTCAATAGGCGTGGCATCAGCGTTGTCTAGCGTTGACCGTCCACGCTAGTGACCCCAGTCGGTTGTGTATGCTACAGGGTGCAGTATAACGCACTACCTTGTTGTCATTTATTACAACACGGGGGCTGAGTCATCAGCCCACTGTGATCTATCACTGGATGTTATTGACTCATTCGTCAACAGCGTCATCACTAGAGTGTCTATTAAAAAGTTCAAAGTGGGTCGATGGAAAGCGCGTTGCGGATAGCAGCAACAACTTTCCATCACAAGCCTTGTTATGGCTATGATAACCAATAGAATGGATGGTCAAGAGATGCATCCTATGTAGTCAAAGTGAATGATAAATAGAAATTTCAATTTCGTCAAGGGGTTGGTCGACAATCCCAACCGTCAAACTTCGATGTCATGGAAAAGATATTTTAAAAATAATATTTCAAAAAAATGAAATAGTGGAAAGAATGTCATGGGCGGGGTAGAAGCGCATGCGCTTGTACACCCTTTCAATCCATTAAAAAATCCAATGATGAAATAGCCTTTGTAAAGCTCATCGGCTTCTTCTTTTGCAGATCAAGTCTTGAGTCAGTTTTCACCTGCAATTACCTTGGAGAGTATCCAATGGAGGATAAATCCTTGTTGATGTCACAAAACGTTGACTTAAGGCAATTTACACTTTCAAACAGTAGTCAATATACCAATATAGTACTAAGTTACAGATTGACTTTGCCAGCTCATTATTCTACACTGCATCTTTCCCGCATGACTACATCACTGTATTTCATGATCAATTAGACTCCTTTTTTTATTCCTTTTATCAACTTATACAGTAAAATAAATCTCATACAATGATGACAAAGAATTGGCTGTCATTTCGGCTTTACAAACGATCCTTACTATATTTGTGCCATTTTTTTAATGGTAACACCAATTATGTCATGCGAGCTACCTCATTTCTTAAAAGACGAATAAAAATGAAATCCATTAATCAACATAATAGGTCATATTATACCCTAGAATCAGAAATCGTCGATAAGAACCATTTTATTAGGGCTTTAAGTTATAAATTCTATCGATATCTTTAAAAAGTATTACCATTTGAGGGGTTAGATATACATTAAGTTAGCTTCGTTTCTCAATTCTAGGTGGAGATATTCACTCAGATCATTATAAATTGATAATGCAGTTATAATTAGTTTTCGAAAATCATAGAAATAGAATTAAAATATTGACATAGATAATCCTTCAGTAACCGTAATCAATGCAGAATTGGAGCTATACTGTAATAGATACTAAAGGGAGATAGAAAATATAAATGGATAAATCAAAAATGGTGGTGCTATCGATAATAATATATAATTCGTCAACTATTTATACTGGAAGATCAACTGGATGTACACTAACACTCATAGTCGTAAAGTACATCATACTCTGACAATACACTATCTCCTGCTTGATTGCACTTTCTTGTTTTTTCGTGCACGCGATTGCTGGGACATTGTTTCGTCTATCTTAACAATACCCACAATAAGCATTCTTTTTCTTTCTTGTGCAGGCAATTTATCGTGACCGTAGAATTTTAACGTATCAGCACGAAGGAGAACAAATATTTTTACTTCCTGTGGCAAATATCTGAAGTTGAATTAGTAATCCATTGTGCGAATGCGCTTACGTAATGCAATTTTTTAAAATTATTCGTTGTCAAGTCGGGTCAAAATGTATCACTGCAGTACACAGATGTTAGTTCATTTCTTATCTACTGTCAATACGACGACCGGTTACTATTTTCAATTTATAGCAACCAATCAATAATATTATCTGTATACAATCCCTTTTATTTATAATTAATAACATTCGTTTCTAAATTTATACGTTAGTGTTAACTCAATCAGCTGTTATTCTTTTACATATCGTAGCCATTAAGGGAATGAGTAAAGGAGTAAATTAGTAATATGGCCATATAATACTGTACACTAATTTTGAAATGATAGACCGATGACGCATCGATAACGTCATTCTGGCAAGCATATGGCGAAACAACCTTTCCCATAGTGTACTACTATACAAGTGCCTATTGAATTAGTCGGTTGTGGGTTGAAAATAGTCGTTGTACATTGCTTTGGTATAACTTACTAGTTTCATGTTAGGTTTGATTGATTTTAGTGCTAGGTTAGGTTAGAGTGAACATTTAATCATTGCGAATAACAATCGGCAATAGATCCATATTCCCCAGAGTAACCATAAGTTTCTGATCATCTTTCAACATTTTTGTACGGCATGAATAGTTACTATGGTATGCATCCAACATCCATTGTACAAACACGCTTGCCATATGCTAATTTCGATCCCGATGTTGGCACAAACAATAGCCAACTGCATCATAGATCATTCAAGAATAGAATAGAAGTTGTTGGAGAATTTTCAACAATCAAGATGCCACGCAATGGGCATCCCTCTTTATTTGATTTATTTATTGTGATGAGTTATACTGTTAGCGTCGGAGTAAATCTTGGCTGTCAATCATGGAATCAAACAAGGATCAAATTTAGATCCAACTTGTAGCCAACTGGTTGAAACCACTTCAGCCTACAGCTAGAACATGCTCCAATTGGCCGCACCTACATCACTAACAGTATTAATATCATCAACAATATCCATTCTAGTCTAAATCATCATGACGAACAACGAGTAATAGTTAGAATACAATAATGCTAAATAACTACTTCGTTCATGGAAAGAACTTCATGACCAAGTATTAAGCAATACAATAATATAAAACTACAAATCCAATGCTATGTAAACTTTCTAAAATTGACAATCTGATCATTATTTCATACAGGAACGACGATAATAGCATCTTAACGAACTAATTACTATCAATCCAAAAAAGAAGAAATAGCAAATAAAATACATGTGAATCATGATGTTTTATACTATAACTATAATAATATTAAAGGTCCTAATATTATACAACGCTTCCCATCGTCATTGATGATATTTTAGCAATAGATAAAGGGATAAAGCAAACAAATAGCGTATCAAAACAATTACCCTTTCACATAGTTGGCATCCAAAAGATACATCGATTTTTCGGCAACGCTTGAAATATAGACATCTTTCATAGTATGATCACAAAATAGCATCATTTACAATAGCAAAAAATAAACATTGACTTAGTTGTAGAGAACGCTAAACTACAGTAATTCTTGGACGAAGCTCAGTTTGAATGTAAAGTAAATTTGTTTAGGAAATGGTTTCCTAGCAATTTAATGATAAGAAGTAAAAATAAACTCTTTTTCCAATAGAATTATTCCAATGCAGTGACCTTTCTACTAATTTTAATCGACATTGATTTAAATTCTACTATACTGTAGCTTAATGTCATAAAATGCAAATAATTTCCAATCAGGAAATTAATTGTTTATGATAAAAAATGAAGCTACTGTATATCATGAAAGTAAATAAATTACATTAAGCAATGCTATACGTATTATATCGATCATAACTCAATTATAAAATAATAATGCTAGAATGATAATGCGCGTAGGGTTGAACAAGTGCATTAAGGAGGTATATTTTTGGTATGGGATGACTCTTTTGTAAACCAAGTGTAGAACTTCATGATTACTCGGTGAAGTAATTGATTGTAACACAGATATCCGCTGTAGTATACTAAAAGTAAATCAAAAATTATTTTTTGGGTAGCCCTAACTGCGAGTATTCTACTTCTTTTTAGCAGTCTTTAACTGTGGCAGAGTTTACCATTTCTACTGCATACCGAAAGTAACAATCATACTTGCTGAAATTCTCTATTTTCTTTTTCAAATACTTACCATATATACTACCACAGGATATTATTATATCACACACCGAAAGCTAACTTAAGAATATCTATTCAATATAGACGAGCAAATTATAACATTAGACGCAATTTCAGGATCGAAAACAATGCTCTTAAATAGAGAAAAATAGTTCATTTATTTCAGTATTTGATAGTTAAAAATTTATCACGTGTTTACTGTTTACAATACAGTGAAGTCATTGATATACTATGATTAACGTACGAATATACTCAAATTTGTGCATCGCTTAGTTTAAGATAATCGAAATGCTTTGATGGCGTGATAATGAGCGCACTTTAAAGGAATTTATTGCAAGATGATGATCTTTTCACATGTATAAACAACGGAATTTAAAAATACTATCTACTATCTACAACATTGGAACGATTTATATTTCGTATATAGGACATCATCACAAAAATGTCAACACCTATTCTAGAGCTGTTACATTCGAAGCAAGATCTGACGGATCAATAGTGCTTTCTGTATCAGAAACTTTAGAATCCTTAATTTCCTTTTCAGTTATTACTTTCTCTGCACGGAAAAAGATTCTTGCACTGTTAAGTGAGTAATTTAGCAAAGTAAATTCCTATTGATAACAAAAAAAATAAGTTCTTTAGTTTTAATCATATAGTGTTGTTAGCAGTAAGTAAATATGGTAAGGTTATGTAATAGCTAAATGTATCTACCATAGAGTAAGTTTCTAATCGTTTAAGGGTCAAATTCATTGTCTGCTGTAGTTTTTCATCATCTCTTCCACGTTGTCTCGACCTTCGAATTTCGTCCTGGAAAAATAACATTCATAAGTGACAGAATTTTCAATACATATTTAGTGTTGAACACCGGCTTTAATCGGTGTATAAAGTTTAAGTTAAGAAACAGCTTAAATTACATTTTACAACATGTACATGACATACCTTCTCTTTCATAAACCTTCCTTTAACGGATCGAAACCAATGTAGAGAGTCAAATGCACGGTGTTGATCCAGTAGTTTTAAGATGTAGGCTACCCCTGTAAATGCATACATTTGGACGTATTTTAACTTAGAATAACGGTATAGGCTTATTTTCGGCAACTGAGTTGTATCAAACAACAAGTAACGGGAAGAAACTGTCAACTTGTATGCAAGTGAAAAATTTAAAGGATTATCCTTGCTGTTACAAGCATTACTTTTTACAATATTTTGCAAAACCTTAAAATCTTGAATATGGTATACTTTTTAATACTTTTATTTACAAAAATATTACTTGCTAATCGCAATCTTAATTTTTGACTTCACTAATTGTGGTATTCATTACTTAAAATGTCATCATTTAACCAATGTCATAGTTCATAACGGAAAACTAAGTATAAGTACTATTATAAAGAAAACCAAATGAATGCTCAAATTTTTTATACCGTATACAGCTATTCAATTTTTCCATACATATAGAAACATAATATATCGAAGTGAGCTTTTAATCTATAGTTATGATAAAGAGAGTATTTACCCATAGCAAAACCGTCATCCGTAAATCCAGCGCCGACTTTATTTTTTCTATTTAATTTCTCTTTGGCTGAAATCATGTGCTCCACGTAGTTGATTGTCTGGTAATGATTTAATTTATTAACTACAACTATGAATACGTACGCAAATATCACAAATCTAACAAAATTACTAACCATTGGAGGTATGATTGCATAGAAATTACTTAAGTGCTTATTTTTAGGATCCCTAAATTCCGGCGCATAGACGTCAACTAGCATCTATTACGTAAGATAAATATCGTGATATTTTGATTTTAATTATGCCGTTAAACTAATGCGTTTATTCGTACCAAAAACGGTCCAGTACCTTAAAATACTCAGTACCCTCAGTGAAATTTTTAACCAAGTTACTTATAACACCATCCAAGTTAGTAGCAGCCTTTTTGGTATCCTCCGATAAATTCTCAGCATCAACGTATTCGAGAAAACTTGGCATTTCCTCCAAATCCGGAATGAATCTTCGCAGATTTATGATACATAACTTATTATCATGATAGTATTCACTATCGCACAAATTTAACATACATAACATCAATCAATCAATATACCGAATAGCATTGCCACAACAATGTAAACCCCCTGAACGAATCATTCGTATATAACCCATGGCATTTCCTATAGTAATAGTTAAAGACAGATATCGTTAATATAATACTTCAATAAGCAATGTGAGGTAATAATTATTTCGATCATTATACAGTCAAGGTTAATCTATAATACACTAATAGCTTTTTCATACCAATTTGACTTATTAAATTTCTAAACTGATCCAAGTAGCTCTGGCCATCCGATGATAACCCAAGCTTTCGTATGCCTTTATTAAATTTTTCTGCTCTTTCATAAGGATACTGTCAAAAGAAAATTAGCAACCACTTTATTCCTAACAGTACTAAATTATAATTTAGTCTACAGGATCTTAATATGAGCTAGCATGAAAAAGTTCTTACCCTATAATCCAGGTCTACTTTATTCTCCTTATAGTATCGAATATCCTATAGCAGATATTAGTGTACAAAAATTTTCTCTGGTAAGATATCATAATAAGGGACAGCACAAATAGAAAAATGTCGTACTATTACGTGCTGCCGTGCATACCTTAATAAGTCTAGCCTTTATATGTTCATCATATAAAAATTGTGAAAAAATGAAAAACTTCTTTCGTAATAGTTGATATGTATAGTTGACCTACAGTATAACAAAATCAACGATTAATGATAAAATCTTTAAGCTTCATCAACTTCCTCAAGAGATAAAATTTATGTATTATATTTTATCTCATTTTTCTATTTTGATCTACTAAATTTAATTCAATCAACAAAATTTATGAAGACTTTTGTGTATAGAAACGACAGTAAAAACAAAATCCCGTCAAGGCATCCAAACTTTAAATTATAATTAGAGACTAAAATGATTGCTTACAGCAGTATTCATGATTCCGATCCCATGAGTACGGATCGAATTGGAGATGTGATCGATATTAATTGTATTAAGGTGCTTGCTATTTGATGATCGTTCAACAAATACTTGGTTATTCAAATTGTACACATAGTGTGTAACGAAAATATGAAGATTTCTCATGATTTCAAGTACATCTAGGCCCTTTTAAAGTTAAGAATTCATCGATAAAATGAAACTCTATCCATTAACGTTAATTGCATATCGCAAAGGTTGCACAAATGATAATTTGATTACCTGTTCTAATGTCTGACTTGGCAAATGGGCTTCAGCCATAATCAAACCATATTTCTGACCAGCAAGAGTCCTCATCTCACCGTACGTCTTCCAATCGTGTAAAGCTACCGTAGTAAGATTATAGAATGTCTCTTCTAGATAGTTGGTTATGTGCTCTACAACAAATCGGATTGTATCGGTTAAATTACATGTAGCTAATTCTATCTATTATATACGTATATTAGATAGAAAAGTGTCAATCTTATACCTTTTAGATTTATGAAATTATCAAAGAATCGAATAGGGCGACATTTCATAAAATGAGAGAGATCTCTTAAGCCAACCTGTACGATAGAATAAGTATCACATTCTATAAGAACACAGGCTTACACAGCGATTTCTTAGCAAAAGTCTTTGCTCTAAGTGTAAAACCTTGAAAGGATTTCTATCGTCTAATTTCAAGTGTGAATGAATATGCAACCGAAGATCGGTCTCAACTTCGCAGCAGAGCGGCTGCAAGAGGTGCTAATAACATGTGAAGATTGTACGAAAATGAGTTGAATTTTCATTAATATGATCGATATAAAACAGCAGCACAAACATTACACCTACCTCTTTGATTTCGCTCATAACATTTTCCTGAAAGGCCTTCAACATTTTACCTTTATTTAACTCATGTTTAGCTTTGCGAAGCATTGGTACACAATCACGAACAGCTCCAAGCATGTACTAATTTAAAATCAGAAAATTAGTTAAAATTCAGTACAAAAGTGCATTAAGACGGTTGCTTACGTGAATCCTGTGACATTCTGCAGGATTTTCAAACAAGTCTTGTAAATATACTGGAAAGACAACCTAAAATAAATAGCATTTATTAGAAATAATCCTGTAGCATGCATAGTTTTGGAAGATAAGTAAGCATTAGTCATTTTAATTTAAAGTTCATTCATACATTATGCCAGTATACAAAGCTGCAATCACACGCTTCCTTTATCCTATAATTTCATGTACGAAAAACAAATCCAAATCAGCTTCTACACGGAAAAAATCCTATTTATGTATGAATGGTATTAATTACGCTGCTACATGATAACTTGCCTATGACCCAAATTCGCCAATGTGTCCAATGCTTTAGTCAATCCAATTATGAATGATAACTCATCATCTTTAAAGCAACGCTAAGCGAATCAAAAGTTAGATATTCAGAATACAGTTAAAATCTCAAGAGTGTATATTACTAATCAGGAAGAATGCATACCATCTGTAAAGCCACACAAATAGCTAAGCGACAAATCAATATTCTCTCTTTTGTTCCTACAATACAATAGAGTTTTGTAGCTTGACGCATTCGCTAAATAAAACTTAAATTTATTCTGTAGCCTTACACTAATAAATAATAATTTGAGATAAAACGAAGACAAACCTGGACCATTTAAAGCATTCTGAGCTAAAATTAAAGCTGACAGGACGTCCTATCCACATATTGTAATGATATGTTAAGATATTATCTTCCTACTATGCTATAGTAAGATAAATTAAAAAGAAGAATGCTCACCAATCTAGCTTCTGTGTATTTTTTGTCGGACCTTAAACGCTTCTAAAAGAACATAAGAATAATATTAGAATCACATACAGATGATAACGACAAAAGATATTTAATACTGTACATACCTTAGACTTTTCAATCGCCTTTAACAAGAAATATACGACAAACTGAATAACAACATTAATTGATTCAGCTATAACAACAGAGCGTCGGTGAAAAGTGTGATCGATTGCCTACAAGAATATTACATATCTTTCATGAAGTCAATCCTGATAAAAATTCAGAAATCATGCTATCCACCTACCTTTAGCATTTCTACCACTCTACAAATCGATAATACCGAACTTTTAGACATTGGCTTACCAAGAACAATATGCATGTTCAAAACAGCACGTACTAATAAACTTAGTTTATTAGCGAATGTAACGCCCTAAACAATAGTTTAAAAGCCAAATATTAATTTTTATGCAAATGCTATAATTGATACACCTCCTAAATCGAAGATCGCTTGATGTAAAAACGGAACCTGAACTAGCAACTTGTATCTTCGATTGAGGTCAGCAGACGTTTCCTTGTCTCGGCTAAGTAGTTCTGATTCCATTTGGACCATCCAGGTACTAACTAGCAAATGGTACTGTTGTACGTCCCTACAATAATGCAATTATTTATTCGATCAATCTTTGAAAGACTATGAAGATTAGATTTAATTTTCTAATGAATTACGCCTCATAATAGAACTGACCTAGATAAAGATTGACTAGCACTAGTTAGATAAGACGATTTCGCTGCATTCGCCATTGTGATTAATTTTCTGTCGAGATTCTTACTATTAGAAGCAGGTGGCCAATGATTAATTATAAAATCTGATATAAACCAAACAATGTTGCCAACAACATGGACTCCTGGAATCTGTAAAATACAGATAATAAATTAAATGATCGTTTCTATACATTCTTAAAATAAGTGTTATTTACGGCAGCAATTACATAAATTCGCATAACACTGAAATAATATTTACAATACCTTCTTTGCATATTCTAATATTGACTTGACCATTTTTTTTTCCACCAGATTAAAAACATGATAATGCAATACTAACAATCCACATATACCGATGATATTATCGCGTTGATCAATTTCTTCTGCAGCTGCAGTACATAAAAGAGTCATTAATTAAATAGTAAAGTTATATTTGTAAGGTTGACTTGAGAATGTGATATTTGAATGCAAAATTTACCGTTCGACTGTTCAGTACGCTTAAAATAGGATAATAAGTTTGCTCGAAACTCCTCTTCAAATGCACCGTTTCGGGTAACGCTCACGAACCCATCATCAAATGCTCGAGTTACACAGGACTAGGTTTTAAATGCGAAATAAATTAATTCCTCGAAAGTTATTATAATAACATATATAGCTGCATAACTACCGCCAAAGGATAATTAACCATACCTTAAATATGACACCATTAAAGACTTTTCCATCTATCCTATTAACTAATTTATCTAGCTGTCGAAGTTTAGCAGAATCGATATCATAACGTTGTGGGTCAGCCAGGGCAGATTTGATCATTCTACGCTCGAATAATATTGTTTGTGAAAAAAAAAGAATTATTAAACGATCTATACTGAGGTGTTAATAGCGGTTAATCAACGAGATATGACGATGTTAACCTTTTGTAAAGCTGCCAATGTTGGATCATGACGTTATTATTATCCATGATTTCGTCCAATGTAATGAGGATGGTAAGTAAATCGCCCAAATGTTCATATACCGGCTACATAACAAAAGGAAGAGACAGATTACAAAATTTATATCACATCAGTTAATATATCAATTGACTAACTGAACTTTTCTAGACAACCGGTATTACGATACCTCAAAGTGTACTCCATGGACATTCATAACAGCATTCATACTTCTAAATTGCAAAAATACCGAGTTCAGGAATTAATTCCAGTTTGATATAGCTTTGAATAACAATTTAAACAAGTTTTACTTTTTGCCTTGATGGAGCATAGCTAACTGCTGGACAACATTCTTAAGGACATCGCCGCACCTTCCAACAAAATTTGTCAAATGCTAGTTGCGAAAAAGAGAAGGTTTAATCATTAATTTTTATTATGCAACGACAGTAGTACAATTATCCTTTAAAATGACTCATTAGTTTTACTAGATTACAAAAAAAAAATTGTACGTTTACTAAATAGTATGTTGGAGATATACCTGCAAAACTGATAGCATTTTACCCATTTTCATATACGCTTCATGGATCTGTTGTTGCTCTTCATCCTCTGCAATAATCGGAATATCAATCATCAAAATGAAGAAGTTACTAAATAGTTTAAGGTAGCTTTACATAAATTACTGTAAATATTATTCGTACAATCAGAATATATGTACTATTTTACCTCCTTCCCCATATAGGACCAGTGCCGGATAAAGTTCATTCTTAGCCTATTCTCGGAAAAGAGACACTTATGAGATGAAAGAATATCGTCAAATAGGCAAATATTTCTTAAACTACCTCGTATTCCAGACGTTTTATTTCGCAACAAACAGCAGCCAAGACAGTCATAACTTTGTTAAGTATCTATTATAGTCAAGGAGTAGCCTTAGTCAACATACTGTAAGTACAGTGGATCAACGCACTTGGAATTCTCGATATATTAACAATGCCTTTTGAGATTTTATTTCATAACTATTTTGTTCATACCTTATTATCAGTCTTGATCAACTGCGTTAATGATGCTTGTTCATAAGGTAAAATCTATCATGTATATTTAAAAAAACAGTTGGAGACGATTCATCAAGCACGTTTTGGTCGAGCGTCAAAACACGAACAGCTATGTAACATAAAAGTACTGTAATGTAGTGTTATTGATAATATTGTATCTTTTATTGTGATGCTTTAGTCTACTGAAATAGCGGCATCTTTTAAATTAAAGTGTCTTTATCGAGCTGCTATAATATAATCACCAGGAGTATCTACGGTTGTCTAAGCGATCGTAAACGCTAGGAAATTTTTACATCGATATAGAAGTTAAGCTCCATAAACAGTGTGTAAACCATCTTACGAGGTTGCAGTATAAGATGCTTTTACAGTTACATGACGTAATGCCTAGGTATTAACTAGTTAATACAGTAGTAACAATGCGTGATTCATTACACAGTAATAATGATAACCTGCAAATATCAAAATTAACAGTATTGCATTGAATTGAAGGCATCGGAGTAATCGTCTACCTGCCAGCTAACGACTGTGCACTAGTTATGAAACGGCAAATTTGCCATTTAAGTTACACATAGTATCGTACTGTAAAGGCACATTTTTGTGCTTTGCATTCTGAACCAAAATCACTACTAGTGTCACTAGAAGACTGACTACCGAATTGGTTCCTATGTAATAGTATGATAGAAGACTATAGCAGCGGAGAATTTCAACGAAATACATAGTAAAGAATATAGTTACATGTAATGAAGCAGGATCCATGGTAAAATCCCAAGCATCGCTAAGCGAGTGACTTAGTGCTTCTTGTATCGCTTTGAGATGATCCGTGTATTCGCCAAGGAATTCATTATACTTTCGACTTATTATACTTTCAAAATTGACTAATAAAAACAAGGTACAATTGGATTGAAAGTTTCTTTAACATAAATGAATACAGTTTCACATAAGAAATAGTTGTCTGTACCATTTTGTCTATCACAACTTAGTACAAATGATTATAAAGTAAGACAGTTATTGCTAACAACTGCACTGTCAAGAGTAATGAAATAGCAAATGATGTTGCAGGTCTCTGCTTGCTATCATTGTACTACTGCACTGCAATTCAACAAAATAATATTTCCATCCAGATATTACCTATTATAACATGCACTAGAAACTGATAACACCGATAGCTTAAAAATTTCGGCTTTCTCCACTATTACATCAAAAATGGATTTTACATACGATCTACTTACGTAACGATCCATCATTAAAGGCATCAAATTGCCAGTCTTGGCTGTCGGAGACTGCCATTTTTCTTTCACGTGATCTGCTAAGCTAATCGAGCCCACCGTTGCTTCTGACTATGGTTGTACCCTTGTACATGCACAGTACGTACAGTACAGTACAGTCCACTTGTACAGTGTACAGTACAGTACAGTACTGTACAGTACTTCCCTCTGTTACCGTAAAGCATAGTACTGTACAGAGTACAGTACGTACTGTCGAGCTCAAGAAAAAAGCACTGCGCAAACTCATGGTACTGTAGTATAATGTTCCACAGTACTGCAGTGAGTGTAGTCCATTTAGGGCCATGACGTCATCAACTTGATGGTACTGCAAACATTAGTTCACTTAAGTACTGTGGCAGCGACTTGTACAGTAAGAAGAAAACTGAGAGAATTTCTCTTGCTTAAATGGCACTGAATTCGGGACTCCAGAAGTTACAGTAAACTAATTTTGAATCTCCCATTTGATGGACTCTTTTTACGCCCCCCTCCCTCCCCGTACGAAGATTAGCAGTTGGCCATTGAACCTCAATTATTTTTAAGTCGTTAAAGGCCAGCTGACCCTAAAACAAGATGAAAAATGACTTCAAAATCGAATACTAGACTATAGTTTACAGATGATGAAGCCAGTCAACATGCATCAACCGTGCACCTGTTGTGCGCAGTGTAGTGGTGGTAAAATTCGCAATCTTGTTGCATGTCGTTCTTTTTCAAGACGTTAAAATGGGATATTACAGCTTGCAATCATGGTAGAGCATAACTATCAAGCATTAATAGTTACTGTACTGTAGTAAAATTGTACTCAATGACTTGTTATGGATTGAGTGTTTGAAGACAGTCAGCCGAATGAGATTTCAGCATCAAGAGACAACCATGAAGGTTGATCTTAATTATATTTGGGCAAATTTTTATTAAATCACGAAACAGGTCGCCGTAAGATACACATAATACTGGAATGCATGCTAAGTTTCGAAAGTTAAATAATCACTTCCTTCCGCTAGAAAATACTAGTGATGATATTTAAGTAGTGGATTGTCACACACCACTAGTGACAAAGTAGTCTACACACACCAATCCTTGCGGAGAACGCCACTTACTAACTTAAAGAGGCGAGATTAGCTATATCACCAAATAATTCAGTTCCAACGACCGAATACTATGGTATAATTATAGCGTCACAGATGATGTAGATGAGATAGTCTGAGATTTACTATCATTTATTACTGAAGGAATCTTGGCACCCAAGATTATAGTCTTTACAATTAAATATCAATTGAAAAACTAGTTGACTATCCAACCGACTAACTAACTAAAAAGGAATTAACATGGATATAATTATATATTTTAATAGACAATTATCTTATTGTTGTTTGAGGAAGAGGATATTACTACTGTATGACAACAACTCCGTAGAAGAAAACCTGCTATGTAGTCGAAAATTGATCAGAAGAACACAGTCGTAGGCTAGTTTAAATGTGGACCACCGACCCACCAGTTTGTTGTTGTACTATTTGCTATGCAAGAAAATCGTCAATTGATGGCATCATAATTATCAAAGACGTTTTCACTCCCTGATATAGCGGGATACCTTAAATTACCTACAGTGCGCGTTAGCTGTTGGAAGTTTGATAGTCAGATGATAATAATCCTGATAACTGAAAAATGGAATGCTGCATTTACTACACATATAATCCGCGGATATTAATGTAATCAACTACAGCATAAGTCCAAGGGGATCTGGGATGGAGAAAGTAATTGTAGGCATAAAATGATACCCTTAAGTAATCACGATGATTATGTATTCCTTTTACGTCGTCGCTATTAAAATTACACGTAGCATGAAAATGTGTTGATGGACAAGCATTGATCAACGTCGTCATTTTGGATCTGCTAAATCGATAATTTATCCAATTGGGCGCGCATTCATTAATCGGTGCATCATAATGAAAGCTCGTTTGAAAAGCATTTTTACGTGAATATCTTAACCACGACGATTTAATGTGAGTCTATGGAAATCTATGATCTGAATAAAATCACAAAATGCCAAATAGGGATTACTGGTAGAATCGTGTAGAGTAAAATATCTGTTTTGCGAAGTATGGTATGTTGTTCTGATAGCAGCGCAAGTCGTCGGCTTAAGTTGAATTGCCTAGTTTCAAAAATTTGCGTAGCTACAGTAGGATTTTAAACCGATTCGGAGCTATAAACGCACCATTCTCAACATAGACAGCCTATAACTTACCGCTAATCTTGCAATGGTAACATGCCTAATAATACCAGACAAGTACACAAAATGAGTTGAATCTTTTTCATTGCTGGACTACACTACTTTAAAGCCAAAGAATCACATGATTAACACGAAGCGGAAAGTTTAGTTATGTTAAAGCTCTCATGAGAAATTTTATTGCTCGTATTTATACAGTACTGTGCACATTGCACAGCGTACTGGTAACAAACGGCCTAACAAAATTTTTCAATGAGCGCAATTAGCAGAGATAACTGCAAAAATTCGTTTCATCAGTGCCCAGTATTCCAGGCGCAAAGACATCGACAACGATAAGCCCTCAGCAGGTAATGAATGCGCATACTGTAGTAACTCTGCCAAGCCAGGTACCTCCTGTTCTTCTACAAATTTTCATGGCGTTCAGAGTTGAATACAAATATAGAGATTTATCATCTCTTTCTTATTCTAAAAAAATTTATTAATTGCGAATTTAAACGTTACCCTCATTAGCTCTTAGAAACCAGGAGCAGGAATAACTGTTCAGTACATGAGGTAACGCGGCATTTCGAAGAATAGTGCACTGATAAGTCTTGAAAGCCAATAAACAGAAGTTAACAACATATGATAATCTTGATTATTAATTACTAAGCTTAGTACCGTATCTTTTTATATGTTTGTAGTGTCACTGTGGAGTATTCGAGGAATGCAATAAACATGCTAAATTCGTCAATCAACGTTAAAAGTAAGTAAATTTCTAAATTTGCATAATCAAAAATGAAGCAATAGCAAATATTAATGATTAAATATAAATATTGTCATTCGGTGTATCGTTAATAAAATTAAAACTTGATTTCTGAAATGGGGTTTATTTTTGTTTCTGGTTTAAAAAATCCATCCAAATAACTTGAAATGATTTTATATCAATACTGCATGTTTATATACTCTTACATGCATGTTCATCGATCAAGCATGTAAATACGAAAGTGCTGACTTAGGTCTCGGTTTAGATAGCTAAACTCATTTATCGTGAATACTAATCAGATAAGAAAATCGTCATCTCCTAACTGAAGATTATTTCTTACAGACTGATCAACAAGCAATCATCGAATGTTATGTAATGACCAGATTTAGTGTAATGCCTAATTATCTCATCCACATTGTCCATTTCGTAATATTTACGAAAAGAAGATCGTAAAATGCTTCACATTAAGCGATAATCGAGATAGAATGTACAGAATATTCGGTAATTTTATTACCTCATCAAAAATGACAACGAGTAATATTCTAACAGTAAGGCTTTAGTTACGTTTGCAAAGGTGAAAATAAAGAACTTTAGAACTAATTTTGCTATAAACGTTCTTTAGTAATACACCTATACATAATACATAAGCCTCTATACATACGATCAAGTACTTGCACTGTTGTTGAAATAGAATTAATATAATTTAAAATATGCTTAAAATAATTGCATTGACGAAGCCATTAGTTAGTTAGTTAGTTGATTATGATGCAGAAGGCACCAAATAATATTATAAACTAACTAGCTACATCGCCCGTCCTACGAGCGAATCATTGGCCCCCTTTAATATTTTAGCTTAATTCTATTAATCAATGCTTACATAAGTATTATTGCCAGGTATATTTAAATTGATAAAGTTGACAGAGTAAAATAAGATCACGCATTCTCATCTGGAAGCATTTGGCCTTCTAAAACTGACAACTGAAAGAAATAATACATGCGTTTGCCTTAAGGTAATGAAGTAAATAAACCGATTTCTTCTATGAGAGTGCGTTAAACTTATGCAACTATATTTATAAATAAAAAAGTCATAGTATGTATAAATGATTTTAACTATAGATAATTTAATACTGGTATTATTGCATTTATGGCCACAATATCTATATCGTACTGGTTAATCAATAAAGTTGGTGATAGTAATCGTGAAAACTAAACAAGCAGTTCAAATCAGTCATTGTAAGTACCACCTATCCACCAGTTTGTTGTCGATGTGCTAGTTGCAGTACATGGAAATTGCGAGTTGACTCCATCATAAAAACAAAAAGCTCGTTCATTGGTTACTTGATTAGGAACATTAAAACGTCCTTAATTTGCTTTCTCTGTGGCAAGGTATGTATTTAAATGATAGCTTCTGCTGCTATAGAATGGAATACTATATTTACTGCAGGAATAGCCACAAAAATTGATATAATCGATGGTATCGCAAGTCCATATACTTCTCAGGTCGAGGATGTAGTTGTAGGCGCAAAATGATATTTTTAGGTAATCGCGACGATTTGCCAATCCTTTTTCGGCTTCGCTATCAAAGTTACATGTAGCACGAAAATGAGTTGATAGTAAAGAGTTTTTGAAAGCCGTCATTTTAACTTTGGAAAGTCTGTAATTCGGCCAGTTGGGTGTACATTCGTTAGAGGGAACATTGTAGTAAAAACTCCTACGAAACCTAGAACTTCGTGCATTAGTTTTCGATAACGATTCAATAAGAGTCCATGCAAATCCAGGATCTGATTGAAAATCACAAAATGCAAGATATTGCTTATTTGTAGAATCATATAGCGTAAAGTATCCATTCTGTAAGACGTGATAAAAGCTCCTGATATCTGTACATGTGTCAGTTTCGATTTAATTACCTAAATTACGTAAATTATAAAGTAAAAGCCTTGTTATTATAATCTTATACGCTAAACTTTCGATAATATGGCCAGAGAAGGGATTAAATTGAAACTAAAAGTTTCAATACAATTAGATATCACAGCTTTAATCAAACTATCCCAAATAATAAATTAAAGTTATAAACGATTAATGCATAAACGAAATATCGCAATTCAGCATTCATCATAACTTCTCATAGCTTTTCTGTCTTCTCCATTTTGCTACTAATAAATTATTGAACTATATGGTACCAGCTTTTACAAATTTTGATCTGCAGAGTAGTTGATGGAATTGCAACTCTAGAATTGTGATTTTTCCCTACTCTAAAGCAATCATAATGAAACTACTAATCTAATCATGTAAGACAAATTTTACGTCATGATTCCTTCCAAGTTAAGTATTAAATCTCGCGATAGGTTATTTTCTATTGATATATATTTAAAGCATCCTGTATTGTAATAACTCATATATTTCCTAACAGTCAACTTATATCGTACAATATTTTATACTCAATAAAAATTAAGGATTTTTACTGCTAACAATGATTAATAATAATCTCGATGGAGTTGTCAAATTTATATTATATTCATATTCCAGATAATATCTACTGTAATAAGTAAAGGTAGTTAGCCACAATTACAGGCATTTGTGTTATAACACTTGTTACTGCATTCACGTACTTCGTAAAGCTAAAATTATTCTGACAAGGTATTTTTGTGAAGCTGGGTTGTGATGTTTATTAGAGTATTGCAAAACTTAATCAACTTCATACAAACACAGTCACATTATTTCATTGCATGATTTGAGGATTTGTTAAATCATTGGTCTTTACTTTACTACATAAATTAACCATTTTACACCTAGAAACCTATCCACTGTTATTACTTACACTACAAACATGATATATTTCAGAGCTACATCACAAAGTTACACAAGGTTAACGAAAATAATAAAAATGGGCTTATATTGTTGAACTCTATGCGGTTGTTACTTCACGAAATAATCGATACTTACTTAGACTTCATGGTTTCTATCATATAAAACGATTTCCCATGTTTTGTGGTATAATGTGTGAAATCACTCATACAACTAGCATGTAATTCTTGCTTTATATTTCAATTGTGTGTACATTCTTGGAAGATATTTCCTAATTTATGCTTAAGTACAATAAATATTTATGTTAAAAAAACCTATCGATGTTGAAATTCTCCTAAAGATATCGGTAATTTAATGTATAATAAGAAAGAGTTTCATGCAACTAAAATAAATATTTAGAGCAGCGTCCATAATTTGGTTATCAGCGAATTTACACATGAACTTGGTAAATACTTCATGCAATTTTTTAACCTACAGCATCTTGTGTGCACGGGCGCAGCGTGATTTAGGAAAAGAAACTATACTGGTTGATCAGTGTTTTTATTTATTGTGTTGAGTCAGAGTATTAACCGCAACAATATTTTTCATATTTGCCAAAACATAACATGCAAATCATGTATACAATAATGCAAGCTAACTTTCGTCATGTATAATCTGCAATAATAATATTGATGAATTTATTAATCTTTGTTATTGACTTAGACAGTATAGAATTTATGAAAATAATCATAAAATTGCGGCATAGTACTACTCATATATCAGCAATTTATAAATTTTCCAAGAGATTAATATCGAAATTAGTAAATATGCTAAAATTTTGTTAGTTTGAAGATTACCATGCAATATTGAAGTTAATTTTATAAGTTACATTAATCAATGTAAAATTCTATAAATTTACTGTGACGTGAAAGCTCGTATATTCATAATGATAAAATACGGCTATTAAATTATAATCAAGCTAACATAGAGAATTAGCTAAGAAAAAATGAGAAATAGAGGTGATGTATATTAATATGCTAGATTGTAAGGAGTTTTATGGGATATGTAAATGATCATCAATGATACGAAATTTGTTTCGACATTAATGAGAATACAATCAAATAGCTAATAAAAGAATTGACGTGTAAGGCCATTTATTAATGGATACTTATTGTTTAAAATCTAATTTGTATGAGTACACTTAGATAGAGTCAATAAGACTTGCCATTAACGGAAGACATAATCGTAAATTAGTCATAAATGGCCCCACCTATCCACCAATTTGTCGTTGATGTGCTATTTGTTACACAAGAAAACTTTTCGCTGAAACTATAATAATTACCAAATATTCGCTCGTCAGCTACCGCATCAGGAACGTTAAACTTTCCACATTTCGTTTTAGAGTATGCAATATTTGATTGTAGATGATTATTACTATCGCTATAGAACGGTATGCTACATTTACTGCATGAATATCCGCGAATATTGATATAATCTACTATAGCACAAGTCCAACCTCTGTTAGTGAGAAAGTAATTATACGCACAAAATGAAACCCTCAAATAATCACGATGACTTGTTAATCCAGTCTTGCTTTGGCTATCAAAGTTACATGTGGCACGAAAATGAGTAGATGATGTGGCCCCATGTAACGTTGCCAATTTAGCTTTAGAAAGTCTATAGTTTGACCAATTAGGAGTACATTCGTTAGATGGAATATTATATTGGAAGCTCTTTCGAAAGTTAGATGTTTGTGCATTGCCTCTCGATATCGATTCTATAAGAGTCCATGAAAATCCAGGATCTGATCGAAAATCGCAAAATGCAAGATATGGCTTATTTGTGGAGTCATAGATTGTGTAGTATCCGTTTTGATGGACCTGATATTTACTTCTGACATCAGCGCATGTCGCTGGTTTCGGTTTCATCACCTAGTAAACGACATGATAAAGTAGGATAGGATATATGAGTATAGTTATAGTGATAATTTCTATAATGCGGTGCAGTATAGCATGGGCAAAGTTAAAGTTACAGCCAATTGTCTGTCTTCCAGACACTAATTGGTTAACTGTTTAAATTCAAAAATAACTACTAAAAGTAAATGTAGACAACTTTAACAATTGGTCAGCAGTTACCTGTTAGTCTGTACTATCTGATATCATAAAAATTAGTAAGCTTACCGCTAATCTTGCAAGAGGTAGCAACGATATTAGGATCAAGCAAACATATAAAGTGTTGTAGGCCATATTACTAAATGCTTTAGGAATAGCTTGGGTACTTGAAAAGTAAAAGAGGTTATAAGAGCATTATCCTTTATATGTTCGTATAGAGGCAGCAATATCATTAAAGAACGTGATAAATATGTCGGGTGTGTCAATCACATTTAAATGTAAATAAATTTTTAATCTAAAATTTCTTTTAGTAGAGTATAGGCAATACAGTTAATAAGTGACTCATCTGTAATGAAATGAAATGTATAGAAACCAAGCTACTAAACTTCTAACAAACTATGATTCTACTTTCTTTGCACTCTGGTCGACTTAACAAAACTTTGACATCAAATAAAATTGGGCAAACAACCGATCAACAATTTATTAAGAAAACGTGAGAGAGTCTAATCAAACAACCTTCCAAATACTTAATTCTAAGTATTATAAGTAACGAAATAAAAAAGCGATAGAACTAAAACTGTCAACCACCAAACAACCTAACAAAAAAGAAGACCGTTTTAACTTACAACAGTTCGATCCCGAAGGTCTTTAAAATTCAACAAGTTCTTCAAAAGAATCTTCTTTACTCTCTACTCTAAATTTTCTGATTGCACTGTCATTTATAGGCTTCGCAGAGCCCTCAGTGGTGCTTAAAACTAAATATTCATTAACCAATCACTCTTAAGGCCCATTTTAGAAAACTACTTTGCACCACTTAAGAAAACAAAAATCATTCAAAGTTCAGATACAAATTACCTTATGATTCCCTTACAAAACACTACAAAGCCATCAAACTAACTATGAAATACCTCAAGCGTTACTTCTAACTTAATTTCCACTCATTATACGTAGCAAAAGTCTAAAAATTAACCTTTAAACATCAAGATTTAGTCATAAAAATAACAGTCTAACTACTTAACAATCAACACAACCTCTGCTTTTTGCCATCTTATTTTCTATTTTATCAACTAAATTTTCCTAATGTGACCTTTCATGTCTCGTCATAAAATCCAAAGTTTCAAATTCATAACAAAAAGTTCAAATTTCAAAAATCAACTCTTACAACCTTTTCCAGAAAAATTAAAATTATATCGGACATAAATCCGACCGGTTCCGGAATCCGAAAAATCTGGATTTTATAAAGATCACAGTAATCGCTTATCAAAAAATTTTATATGACTAATATGACTACTTTTCTGACATTAGTATTGACAGTTTATGTTTTAGCGTGAAGTTGTACGGTAATTGTACGATTATAGTCTACATTACAGTACTTTACTGTCATGTTATAAATCTCCTTTCTCTGTGGATAAGGTTTTGTTACTAAGTCAAATTTATCTATAATATCAGTATACTATCAAACGCCCTTTCTTTAAATTAGGTGATTGCTCTTAGATTATTCCTACAGTAATCTATATAATACTTTGTAAATTAATGAAGAAGAAAAGATGGCGACATAAACATTTGGTAGGGTAAAATTAAAAGATACTATCACTTTCTAGGTATTTTCTACATTACATTAAAATAGTTACGTACTAAAAGCTATAAAGGACTCTGCGTTTAGTCCTTTATTACACATCTTTCATATGCTTCTAAAGTAACAGTAATATTATTGAAGAATGTCATTAATTTGTCAGTTCTGTCGATCACATTTAAATGCAAATAAACATTAATTTTAAATTTCTTTTAGCACAGAGTAAAGTTACAGTGATATGTTCAAGAATGTGATAAACATGTCCATTCTGCCAATTATAGGCAAATAAACATTAATCTAAAATTTCTCTTAGCAAAGAGTATTGGCAATATCGTTAACGAATGACTCATCTCATAAAAATCTTAGTATGTAAGATGATGTATTTTTACATCAAGGTAATAAGGTTTGATTTTAGTAAAGCTGAAGTAAGATTCCTTATTGTTATAAGTTTGATAATTAAATTATGGGAATCGAAGCACTATAAAAATCAGTAATATGTAGGATTACGTGTAATAATAGAATATTAGCAATTTTAGCATTTCACTGCAAACGATATTCGAGCTACGTATATGCATTTATTTTACCTTCTAGGCAATGATAAGTTTGCTTTAGCCATTTCTGCAACTCAATATATATGTATACAGTATCTACTAGATAGTAGTTAAGCTTTTCCCAAGTGCATATCTTTGTATTTAGTATAACAACATTTAAAGGCCTAAGATCTTTTATTGATATTTCAGTGTATGGTAATGCTAGCATCGTGCAACTGATGTAACTCTTTAGTAAGATATCCATATTTAATACAGATATATACGATACTAAGGGTATGATATGTATCAGTTGGGAAGTTTATTGAAAAAATTCAACCACTTTCCATAAGATTAAAAGAATGACTATAAAAGTACTAAATTATACCTTAGCGAAAATTTTCGAGAGAATTAGATTAGTAGAGATTGAAACCAGTGCTAAAGATAATTAATTTAAAAACTTCCCTTACTATATCTTGCATTGAAAATTAATTGAAATTGACAAAATCATAAATTCTGGTGTAGAATATAATCATTATGATACTGTAATATATCTAAATAAACAAATTAATTAGCAGTAAAATTCATATGAATACAAGATTGGTTACCAACAAAGGACTGAAAATTAATTAAATATTTCGATATATTGTGTGTGCAAGGCATCATAGGTAGATTCCTAAACAAAATATCCCAATGAAGACATTTATTGATAGTAAAATAATGAGAGCTTATTTAAGTAAATAGTAAGAGATGTCATTTGGATAATTTATTATAGGCGAGTACCTATTCTGTAACTACGACCTGTATGGAAACTAAGACAAAACTGTTAAATTATATCACAATTGAATCATTACAATTCATGTAATTTACTTTATTGAGGTGATTGATTTGCCAGATAAAGCCATAAATGGGTCATTAGAAACGCAGAATGGGAATTAGGACCAATGCTTTAATACTGATTTCAGTGTTTGCTTACAGAGATTTTCTCGCATATTGCTGCAATGGCCGAGTAATAGTTTCCTGCTACTACTGTTGGTTTGCCTACGTAGCCCAAAATTTGAGTTAACAAAAATTAAGTAATTCCTTAATGTGACACACAAGGTCAACACCGAAAAATCGCCTTGAATAATAAAGTTTATTGATACATCCGTCTATCAGAGAAGATTTTCCCTCCTCATAAGAACAGTTGAAAGCGACTAGTGTCAATCGAATAATTGTACTTTAACTCTTATATGGCAGACAGTTCACATAATCCTACATTTGGCTATCAGATATGGCCTTAACTGGAAAATCCCGTCTTATACTAGAAACAGTACAAGTGCGTAGTCTCATCCTTTTAGCTACCTACTGTACTTCTACAATTAGCTGAAACCATTACAGTTGCTCCACTTTGTTCAGCATAGAATTGGAATTGTCTTGTTCTTCAAGACTGAGACGATATTTCAAGTTAATTATAGTATCAATTTCTAAGCCACTAATGTTTGCAATTCGTCTATCATTATGGCATGGGCAAGCCATTGGGACTCTAAAACACTTCTTTAGTTAAGTGCAAATAATTTTAACTATTGATCACATATGCAACAACATACGCGTATACATCGGTCACTATGCTACATCGCTGCATACTGTTGCTAATACTACCAAATTATACATGTAAAGCTAAGAGTGAATTATTAGTGATATTGATGGAGCTAAATATTTGTCTTACTAACAGACTGATGATCTTTTTTTCTTTAATTTTTCTATTCGTTAATATGGGAAATGGCTTTGAGTGCTACGGAATAGCATATGTAACGATTAATATAACCAGCTCTGTTAATGGTCCATACTTCGTATCTTTTGTGTCCGTAAGCAAATACTTACTAAGCCATGCTTAAGTCTATATCTGCTCACTGCAGAAAGGTATTGCAATATTATTATAGAAATTTTAGCGATCGCAATAAGCAAAATCATGCAAATACTGTAGCAATTTAATACGAAATCTATCTGGATTATCGATAATTTTGTACTGGTAAACTACCCCGTTCAAGCGAACAGGGATATAATTTGCAGAAAGCAATAAAGTAAAAGAAAAATTAACAGATAGACTGCCTTAGTTGGCTACGATGCGCGATCGACGACGTCGAATAAACTATTGTATTTACTGTTTACATAACATAAAACCTATATATTTCATCGTTCATCTAATTTCACTTTATGATAACCTTTTATGGTCCTTTGAACAATATGTACTATAAAATGTAGTGTACTACGCAACATTCTTATCAACAACACTAACGCAACTTCACCATTTTACCCTGCAAATAATAGACTACATATACCGTAAATGATGCTATATTTGCTCTGAAATACGCAAGATTAATGTTAATAGCGTGATTTATATCTAGATATTCAGAAAATTTTATTACATCGGCGTTGCTGGTTTGTTATTTTATAAATTGTAAAATAATTATAAAATTGCTAGAATTATATATTTATATAATATAAAACTATGGAGAAAACTGCATAAACCTTACTAATTTATAGAAAGATTCAATGTGAGCGACTTAATAATAATTCGACAATATGTGAAGGCTAACTTTAAAAAAGATGCTATTTCATGATTATGACAATATATAAAATAAAATATTAGTTAGAATTGTTGTTAGAATTTAATGATCATATCGAAATAATTTGACACAATCGATAATTTGTGGAGTGGAAGCTATGAAATCACTTTGTTATTAATCATAGTAAGCTCCACCAATCCACCAGTTTGTTGTCGATGTAATGTTGCTAGTGCATGAAAAATGTGGATTGAATCTATAGTAAGAACCGAAGACACCTTCACTATCTACTGTATCAGGTACACTGAACCTTCCACAATTCTTCTTAGCGTATGACAGATCTACGAACAAATGATAGTTACTAAAGCTATAGAATGGAATACTACACTTACTGCATGAATGTCCACGAATATTGATATAATCGACTATGGCACAAGTCCAAGTATTTCTACTAGCGAGAAGATGGTCATATGCACAAAAGGATACCCTTAAGTAATCTTGATGATTTACTAATCCTTTCTCTCCTTGGTTATCAAAGTTACACGTAACATGAAAATGCGTTGATAATGCAGAACCTTTTAAAGCCGTCATCTTAGCTTTAGAAAGCCGATATTTTGACCAATTAGGAGTACATTCATTAGCTGGAGCATTATAATGAAAACTCTTACGAAAGGTAGATGTTGCTGCGTTGGTTCTCGACAATGATTCTATAAGAGTCCACGAAAACCCTGGATCCGATTCAAAATCACAAAACGCTAGATATGGTTTATTTGTAGAGTCATAAAGCGTAAAATATCCATTCTGAGAGACGCGATAGGTACTTTTAGCAGCAACACATGTTGTCGGTTTCGGTTTCATAACCTAATAATAACATAAAAAGGGTAGTATAAGATTATAAAATTGATTTCCGTAATGCTACTTAATGAATATCGAAAAAATTGGCTTAATTTACAGAAGATCTTGTTTGAGCTAGCAACACGATTAGGATCGAGCAAATATACAAAGTGTAATTTATCATTTTTACTCAGTACTCCACGAACAATCTTGATATTTGAAGGTTAATAACTAAAGCTAATCAGATCTACCCTTTTATATGTTGGTGTGGTTACCATGATATTTTCGAAGAATGTAATAAGCATTTGAATTCTGTCAATCAAATATGTATATGATATACAATAATAAATATTTATCGAAAATTCTTCTGGCGTAAAGAGGTCAAAGGTACCATAGTTTGGACGATGACTCATCTTACATGTCAGCTGTTATGCTTTGTAAGCAATGAGTTCTACTCCGCGAGTAAGATTTGTTACTAACTTTATTATTAAAAATGCTGGGTTTTTATAGATATTCCAGCTTACACTTTTTGCCTTTTTGCGTCGTGGAATTTTACACATACATCTAATTACTAACTATTAGAGCTATCGTTCACTTTACAACATGCACATATATATAATAAATTATCAGTCCGCCTTTTACAATATAGTCACGTACGATATTACAAGACTACACACAAAGTCATCGTATTATAAGTACTTATATAGATGGTATTCTAATTATATACTTAACGCTCTATCTAATACCTAATGTAACATATATTGTAGTATCTAACACTATTTACAACATTAGCTTTGTCGCATTTGCTCGTGGTGCAGTACCACGATAATAAAGCTTCATTTTAGGAAAAGTTTAATTTAAATTCTTAGTTATTTTTGTGATTGAATTGTAAGTAACACAAAGTTCAAGCAATACAATTTCAATTTTATGTTTACAACGCTTACAGTATGCTTGTACAGATACTACTGTAGAATCAGGAAATGTATTTGCATAGTTACTTGAGTGAGAAGATCTTAGGTTTACTTTAAAATTGTATCTGTCATGAGATTGGCAAGCATAACTCTTGTAGAACAGTAATAATTACGTACAGCAGTTTGTATCTTTATTTACATATTTATTGAATTGGAACTAATTTCATTTTCAGAGAATAAATAGGCTCGTATGTGCTATTCATCACATTACTTATAAACTGTGTCTTTCATTGCGATATCAGAAAATATACGTCGTTAAGCAGGAATGCGGAATACTCTCAATAATATAGTACGTTATAAAAATAGTCACCAATTGCCGATAATATTGAATAAATTACCTTAAAAGTTCAATATTTATTTATGAATCATAAGTTATAAATAATTGTTTATTATTGCATATAAATATATCTGCTATTAATTATAAGGCTTAAGTTCTATGTAATACCAATATTTACAAAGTAGCAAATATTACATCGTTTTCGTTTTTAGTATTTGACGTAAAAAGAATAACATTAATGCTTACATGCTATAATTGTTTAATTCATTAGAACGAGTTGAATTTCCACGCCTATTTCAGCATCTGCACAACATGATCGTAGTTTGTGGGCTTTGTTATCTTATACTTCCAAGTAAACCGTCAATAAAGTCTAATTATATTCGGAAAATAATGGGGTATGAAACTAGGGTGTAGAATCTAAATCTGCTTCGGCCATTCTAGCCATTTCTAGACATTCTAAAATAATAGCAAGCCTGAAATTGCAATTACACATTAGAAACATTAAATATAACGTGGTCAATATCGATCTAATACTTTTGTAATGAAGGTTAATTTTTAGAATTTTCCTTCAAGTTCTTTTATTGTAAGTATTCTAGCTTAGTTTTGTATCGTGATAAGTATTCTAACTTTAAAAAAATATAACTTATTTGGTTGATTATAATGGTAGATTTTACTTAGTAGCTTAGTATCTTGTAAACCCGACTGCTTTATTCGGGTTAGAAGTTAACATTATCCGTACCTTAATTTTTGTTAAGAATCCGATATTACGATTTTTTAATTCAAGCGATATATTTAGTTGATAGAATACATGTGTGCTAATTTTGATCATTAATTACAGTAGAAGTTGATGTTACTTTGTAATTTCATACAGTATGAACCCAAAACATTGATCTAGGATTGTTATTTTGACTTAGTGTATACTGTACAAATGTACAGTTTCAAGCTAAACTATACTTAGTATTAATTTAGTAGTTTTCGGGAATCTAGGGTATAATTTATCTTATCGTGTGTGTTTGATTGCTAGTTTAATTTGGAGTACTTTAGAATGATTTTGGATAGTCTAAAGCCATCAACTGCTCTGTGTAGCATATGAAAGGTGGTATACGTCGGTAATTGAGAGCAGTTGAAGTTAGAGAAGACGAGAAAAGTCTAGGATGATCGTAAGTTACTTCATTAATTGATAGTTTGGTTGGTTGAGGCAGTAGTTCTGCCCGTATTTTGTTATTCATAGAAGTTTTGCTAAGATTATCGTTAAAGTTATAATAAAGTGTTGTTTTCCCTTAATTTATTTTGTTTGGACTTCAATTATTGGTAGTTTAATTTAACATAGAAAATTTTATTTTATTTTTGAATCCGATACTGCCCTTTAATGAATTGCTATACTACAGTAATTGCGTATATTATCAAATACAGATACCAAATAAGTCTTTACTTAAATAATCGAATATCTTTTGTAATCTGTATAAGGGTGTGACACTTTATGTCAATGGAATGATCTATAAGATGCAATCGAGATATATTCTACTGCAATAGTTAATCTCCAGCATTAATATTATTATAAAATGTCTCAACAATAAATACACATTACATAAGTAAAAACAATACAGAATTATTATCAAAGCTTAAGTTCATCAATCGGAAAGCTTAATAGGCAAATAAATTAAGAGGGTATTCAGAACATTAGATTGCCATGAGTTAACGCTGTCTAGATGGTGTCAGTTACATCTTAATATTGCCTATTTTCATGTAATATCAAATCATTCATCGTAGATGGAGGGAAATTGAAATGTGAGTATGTATTTATCATCGATACATTTTGAATTAAATGGGATATTTATGAAACATGGAGTGTTAATAAGACCTGCTTGCTTTGGGGTGGCATGGAGGAAATTATAAATTTTCGGAATTAGTTATTAGGGCTAAGGTACAGATAATATGATCATTAGGTACCAGTACTTCTATCTTAGTGTAATAAAGTGTCTTCAAAATAATGAAAAAATAACTAAAGTTTCTTGTAAACTGCATTTTATTACATAAGTTAGGTTCGTTATCCAACTACCAAAGACTACATAACTGCGACAAATTATCTATATTATTAAAGCCTAATCCATGATTTATGTACAATTAGTTACAGAATGATTCTTTAGCAATATAATAATATAAATTTATTAGACCAATTTTGCTGGTTTCGAATCGGGGAATTAAGAGAACATCGGTAGAAAGTCTCTTATGAAATCACACACATTCATAAATGCGGCAATTAGTAGTCACAGAAGGTCTATAATGAGATTTACAGGCGTCCGAGAACTATTAATTTGAGATCTACGGTACGTTACCCGATGCTTATAATTAATACAATTTGATATGGTTGTACACATTGGTACATGTGAATATATTTGATCAGCGTAGGAAAGCCTTAAAATACGTCGATAAAATATATTGACATGCTTGATGATAGAAAGCGCTATGGGATTTTAAATGTTCACCAAGAATACGAATTATCTATAGTAGTGGAGTCTATAAGCAAATTTTTTCTGACAAACTTTATTTTTGCAAATTTTCATCGGTGATTATCGTATTGTATAAAATTGACGGTATATAAGATATACACTTACAAAAGGTACATCGCATGTAGCTGTATCATGATTATCGATATTACTAAATAAATTCAATATTACATAATAACAGGTACGAATATTTTATGGTGACTCTATCGTATAATTTCGATAATGTATAACTGCAATATTAATCGATAGCATTAACTAACGCTAAATTCCAATTATTATGTAGGGATAAGTCAACGGAGTCTATAGATATCGCAGTAATAACTTAGACATGGAGATGAATTAATCATAGAAGGCACCGCCGATCCACCAATTTGTTGTCGATGTGCTGTTCATAGTACAAGAAAATTTCGGGTGATAATGGACATAATTACCAAAGATATCTTCGCCAGATTTTACATCAGGAACGTTAAACCTTCCACAACTTACTTTAGCTTGTGGAAGATCTACAAACAAATGATAATTGCTATAGCTGTAAAACGGAATATTGCATTTACTGCATGAATATCCACGTATATTGATGTAATCGACTACGGCGCAAATCCAAGCATTTCTAGCACTAAAGAAGCTATTATACGCGCAAAAGGATACTCTTATGTAATCACGACGATTTGCTAATCCTTTCTCGTTTTGGTTATCAAAGTTACATGTCGCGCGAAAATGCGTGGATGAAGCAGCTTGTTTCAGTGCACTCATTTTAGCTTTAGAAAGTCTATAATTCGACCAATTGGGTGTACATTCATTAGATGGAACATTATAATAAAAACTCTTACGAAAGGTAGTAGTTGCTGCATTGGTTCTTGATAGAGATTCTATAAGAGTCCATGCAAATCCAGGATCTGATTGAAAGTCGCAAAATGCAAGATAGGGTTTGTTTGTAGAATCGTGGAGTGTGAAATATCCATTTTGGGAAACGTGATAAATACTTCTAACAGCGGCACACGTTGTCGGCTTTGGATTAACTACCTAATCGATAATGTGAAGAATTCTTATAGTGCTAACTTCAGCTACGATGCTATAATGAAATATTCATCTAAATAGCTCACCGCTGATCTTGCAATCGGTAGTATGGCTATTACCATAAAATAGAAAAATAAAGTATATCGAAGCATATTTAATTTGCAATACGAAAAATTTCTGTTCACTATCGACAGTAGCCGAGAACTAGCAATAGAGAGTTTGAATTGATAATCCCAAATATCGAATTTGTCGACCTATTTATGTTCATGTGGAATTAAGATGATTATTCGAGGAATGTAGAGAATCAATTATAATATCCCGTAACGTATGCCAGTCATAGCTAAAATATAAATAAATTTTGCGTTTGTTATGAACTTTAACCTAAATATTACTAATACAATGTTTAGATAATTTTAGTTAACGATTAACCCTCTGATTTTATCTTAGTAGGGCCTCAATAATATTGATTTTAGAAATGCTCAGCCTAATATTTAAAAATACCTTAGACTTTGGCATAAATTTCATCAAGGTTAAATTAAATAACCTAAAGTGGAAGTTCGTGATCACTTTATAAGTTGTGCCCAGTGGCATGAAAATTTTCGCTTATTCCAGGTCAATATGCATATGTAAAATAAAAGAACTAATTCAATCGAAAAAATAAACTCCTTGATACCGTAATCTATTTCGAGAGGAAATGCTACCGTAGATATTGATTTAACAACGATTAATAATGTTAAATGTAAGTTAAGAGAAATAAACAATGAACACTGTAGCACTCTGTGGTTGTAGGCCGATTAAAGTAGTCAGTAGCAGTCTCGGCTATAGTGTTGCTTGTGATGCTCCCAGCGTAGTACGATTTATGTCATGTTATTTATGATTTTGGCATCGTTATTGCATCAGAAATTTCGATGCATTGATTTTTATTGTGTAATTATTAGAACATTGAAAAGGGGACGATTATTATTGTAACAGCTGCAAAGGATATGTTCTCGCTTTTTGCTGTAATCCTCTTTCCATTTCGGAATAAAATGCTGTAAGCGTAAATCCTCATGACCGTAATGTTAAGAATAACGTTAACATGACTCTTTTCTAATTTATTCGAAAATGTGTAAGAAATTGCAACATAGCCGTGTGGTCATACTCGAAGCGCCAAATTATGTAGTAGTTGGGTTTTACAACCCCTTAGGTTCGCAATCGTCTAATTCAAAATCTAAGTTATTGAAATTGAGCAAATTTCTAACGTGACACAAGATCAGATTAACACCGTGTTTAACCTTAGAAGTATCCGTTTATTAATAGAGCGTCTGACAAGAGAAGAATCCACTTTTCTTCCCTCATAAAAATAGCTGAAAGTGGGCTAAGACAAAATGGATAATTGATTTAGCCTCCACGATAACAATTCCATATTACCTAACAGTTATATTAAGACATTACACAAAAACATCACCCTATATAGCTGTCTACCGCGGCCTTATACGCACATAGTATGGGTAGCATAAGTACACCGTTTCATCATTAGCAGTCATGAAATTACTTTATAAGCATAGTAGACTGTACAACTTCTTAATGCTACCGTACTCAATTACTACTGTAATTAGCTGAAACTATTACAGCGTCATAGGAAAATGAAAGTTATGAGAGTTATATGTAATATGATGCTTTTCCCGATCTGTAATGAAACTTGTTCTACCAACTATAATTGGTGTGTAGATCATACAAGTAATTTTATAATAGCAGATTTTATTACTGGCTCTCTACCGATTGAGATGCTACGTAATAGTACAACAAGCTCTGATAGACAAGGAAAATTTCTTATAATAGCAGATCTTAGAAAAGAAAGACTAAGAACAACAATAACTGAAAAACGTAGCTGCTTATCTAACTTCGTTACAACATAACGATTACGAACAACTTAACACTTTGAGAACTTAGTATGAGAATAAAATTCTATCATTACTACAGTTTTCTACGAAACTTAAGCCAGTGCATTCTTTACGCCAATAACATGATCATATTCCAACTTGTTATTACAAATCTATGATGTTGACAACCTACACAGTAACACTATCATCATCATCACAAACACTTATTACAAATACTAAATTTTTACGGTAACATCGAAGGAATGATCAAATTATTAATAAAAGATTTCACTTACAAAGTAATTTCATTGGCGAATATCGATTATGTGAAATTTATGTAAGTATGTGCACTTAGAGGGTCATAAACCATATAGTATGGAATTAATTACATTGCTATTAGCAAATTGCACAGCGATTTCATTGGCGAATATCAATTATGTAAATTTTTTCCACTCATAAATACGGACATGTGGAGGGCCATTGGTCATGTAACATACAACTTAACTATATTACTGCTGGCAAGTTTGAATGTAAATCTTTAAAGGTTAAAGATCAATCATGAGATTGTGCAATCGTTAAAATGACAGGTATTTGATAGTATTGATTAGTTTACTAAGATATGATTTGTAATTGCTCTTCGATTGATGTAGTTAACTGATGGTAATTTCATATATGTTAATAGAACTGTAGTGAAGCCCCAAATAAGCTTAAGACTAAGATTATAGAATAATGCGACAATAGATAAATTGTGCGCTAGGCTGTAAGACTGCATACGTGTCTAATTATAGAAGATGTTTAAAGTACGTATTGTAGTAAATTATATTGAAATGCTTATATTAAGAATCAGAGATAATAATAGATAGCGTTAATTATGTTAGTATTGTGAGATTTGTATTGTGATGCTTTAATCAGAAGCGCGATAGTAAATTTAGATATGATCTTGTAACTTAATTTATGAGATCTGATTGTGTTTGAAAGAAAATCATTGTGTCACTAATTGTATATAAATTGTGAATATTGCTATGATAATTCATACCGTCCAGAGATAGTCCTATTGAAGCTAGATAGCTCTTGGTACTTGTAAGATGAACCTAATCTATGTAATAAAGTGAAATTTACAAGAAACTGTAGTTCTATTGATTTTTTAAAAGACACTTTATCACAAGAACATAATCTGGTTTAGTCGATAATAGTGTACCACGGAAATAGCGGTATGGCTAGAAACTAGTCATAAAAGGCACAGCCGATCTACCATTTTGTAGTCGTGGTGCTATTCGCCACACAAGAGAATTTCGAGTCGGTATAATAGGATTGACCAAAACTTGTTCATTTGATATTGCATCAGGAAAATTAAATTTTCCACAGCGCATTTTGGCGATTGAAAGATTCACAATTGTACGGACACTACCATATCCAATAAATGGAATACTACATTTACTGCTAGAATATCCTCGAATATTGATATAGTCAACCTCAAGATAATCCCAATCACTTCTAGAAGTAAGGAAATGCCTACATGCACAAAATTGTACCTTAATATAATCTTGACGATTTGCTAATCCTTTCCCCTTTGGCTATCAAAGTTACACGTTGTACGGAAATGAGTCGATGATGAAGCACTTTTCAATGTAGTCATTCTAGCTTTAGAAAGTCGATAATTTGATCAATTGGGCATACGTTCATCGGACGGGACATTATAGTAAAAGCTCTAACGAAGTGAAGAGCTTTTTGCGTGGTTAGTCGACAGCGATCCTATAAGAGTCTACGCAAATCTGGGATCTGATCGAAAATCACAAAAAGCGATATGGTTTACTTGTAGAATCATAAAGTGTATAATATCTATTTTGAGGGGCGCGAATTATAGTCCTAATAGCGGTACATGTTATCGGTTTCGCTTTAATTACCTTACAAACTAATAATATAAAGAATTGTTACAATATCGGATTTATACTACGAGCTCTATTTTAAAATCCGAGCTAAACTACTCACCGCCAATTTCAATGCAGGTATTATAGCTATCAAGATCAGATAAATAAGTTTATACAAAGTCCACTGAGCCATATTTGAATTAACATGGAGATACACTTTTACCTGGAAGATGATTGGTAGAAAACTATCAGCAAGGAACTTTGAATTATTGAGTGTAAATATCCGGGGTTTTTAATCTACTGACTCTTTTATATTCTCGTGAAATCGATCCGATTTATTTGAAGAATGTAGTCAGCATATTAAGTATATCAATCACAGATGAGCATAAAAAAATTTATATTTATGAAAGAAATCTGGCTTGCATTCTGTTTGTGGAACTTTGAAGCAATATTTCTTCGAATTTTACTTTATTATTTTCGTTTAAGTAATACAGATAAAGAATATTGATTTAGGATCAAATTGAGTATCCCAGGTATATTCTCCTGCATGTCTTGGACTTCGAGCGAAAGTATAAACTTCTCTAGTACCAGTATTTCAGAAACCTAATTCATAATCCAACCTCTTGTCTACGTTGAAAAGTCAAGATGAAGTTAAGATAACCATTAAATGTAAAAGCTTAAATATCCGATGTCAATGTTGCTAAACATTAACGATATATTGTTTCGCGCTATCACCCATTAAAAGAAAATTCATAGCTAGATTCTCTTACTATATATGAATCCCTTCCTAGAGATAGGTAGCTGATTCAGTACGTATCAATATTTAGCTATCTACAGAAACTTCAGAATGATGACTAGCTTATGTAATGGATTGAAAATTTACGTTCTACTTGCAACTTTGATCGAATACATTAGTCAAATAGATTTACTTGATACTAATAGCGGGGTTTGGCTTTAGATAAAAATATTCGATATATAGAATAAATTTTGATGCCAGATAAGATTTGCTTTATTTAATTAGTTTATTTGCATTCTAAATACTCTAATATGGCTAAGCAGCATACTTCATATTTGCTATATTTTAATCTAATTTCGCTTTGTTAACAAATCAGTAATTCTGTGCTATATTAGTAACCTCTAATCCTATGACACCTGCATATTTGAGAAGCATTTATATAACAATATTATGCATTATTTAGAACATTCTTCCTTCAAAAACTACTTTAAACCGGGCTTTCATATATCACTTAATAACCAGATACCAGTACAGAGTTTAGATTATTGCTGGCCTTACAGCGGATTTCAGTATCGACCTCCAATCCGCCAATTCGTAGTTGCTGCATCCTTTATAGCACAGCCGAATAAAGCATCGTAAAAATCATAGCTTTCGAAAACAGCTTCGGTATTTGCCTTCTGTACTAT